CGTTATTACACTTCAAGCTTAATATCTTAAGCATAAATTATTAAATCTTAAGTCTAAGCTTAATATTCCATAAGTGTTATTTTGCGATAGTTTCATGTCACGTCAACTTTTCTATATTTTGAAATACTGTATTAATACGCAATAACTTGATACAATTAAATTATGTGAAAAGTTCAAACTTTTGCACAGTGTGTCACCAAGCTCCTCGTTTCAAGCGATCGATTCTCGATCTGCTTCATGAAAATAGTATTTCTATCGTGCACACGTTATATATTGACCTCGTGTTTCAAGGTTCCGAAAAAATTGACATTTCAATAGACAAACGTTGCTCCCATCGATTTTCAATCGATCGTCCCTATTCATTTCTTCCCGCTTAATTCGAGCGATTTTAACTTGAAAAAGAACATCGTTTATTGTATCGTTCTCCTATATCGATATTTTCCTTCGTAAATCAGTTTTTACATCCGAATACTTGTACAGATTCGTATACGAGGTAGAAAAAAGAACCGAGAGAGTTAACGAATACAAATGAAGATAGTTGCAGCTATTGGCAGTGAATTTTGAGAAAATATTCAAGACTCCAATGTGACAAATGAATCGATAAAATGTTGCATTACGAGCGATATAATGTTTTGGTAGCCTCGCGTGGCCCGTCATTTTCATTCGTACCAAAATCGAGTTCGCTAATCATTTAGTGACAGATATTCATTAAAGTAGCCACCCTGAAACATTCGACGCGGTTTAATCAGATTTCATGACGATGCGATCGGTAATTAATATGCAAAATTATTACTTGTACGAGCGAATCATGTTTCACGCAAACGGTGTATCGAACCGAATGATCGCACGTTTTCGTCTCCAGGTAAAAAAGGTACAAACGCTTGGAAATTATTAAATCATCGGAAATATAAACATTGTTTCCTTCCGTCACTTAATACAATATTGCATAAAAGCTGTTATAAAAGTAAGCTTATAACGTACATACGTTTGCGAATAGCAATTTAAGTTTTATGCTGTTCTATGTACAGATGTCAACCCACAAGTTGGCGCGTGAAGAGGTCGACCCAAAAGAAACTACGCCCAACCCAACCGTGAACACTTCCAGCGTTACATTTCGGCAAATAAGAATAATAATGACAATAACAACTGCTGAACGTAATTCGCACTCTCACTCATTTTCGAGACGTTTGACTGTCATTGTTTTTGGCCTAATTGTGCGACCGCTCGAGCCAATAGTACTGCCGGAAATACGTGTGATAAGCATTCACTTTTCTATTCTGACCAATTGAAGCCGTAGCTCTTCTAAACACCTGGGTCGGCCTCTTCATGCGTCAACTCGTGGGTTCGCATCGGTATCTTGTTGACATGAAAAAGTAACTTCGTTTAATGATTTTCTTTTGCACAGCAAAAATATAAGTAACTCGCAAATATGATGTTCGATTAAGAATTTTCAGATGCTTTGTTCGATTAGTATGATACTTATTGAAAGCGTGTTTCGTCATATCAAAAGTTTTCAGCGTGACCGTTTAGTTTTGTGAGACCGATTTGCGTTCTTCCATGGTGTTTTGGTTTTCAAATATGTGTTTAAGAAGCATACCCCGTCAAAATGTTAACGATTTATTTTATAAAATTGTTGAAAAGGTACGAAGGTGTGTAGTGTTTCGATACTTTCTCGTGAAAGAAATATCACTAATTGTAAGCGATTCGTATACACATATAAGTAAGGGAGATTCATAATAACGCGACAAATACGTGTTGCAATTATGTGAAGTATGTTAGCAATATTCATTTACGTGTTATGATAATTGGTTTGCGCAGGTTGCTTCGTTAGAAATAATATGGGTAACAATCTTCATACGTATTGGTAGCGATAGTATAATTTTCTTAGGAGGTAAGTCATTTTTACAATGATTTTTAAATTTTGGGAAGAAACGAAGAAATAGGTACTTGTAATTTTTTTGTCAACCCTTTTAGTACTTTGAAATTTAAGAAATTATAAAATTAATGAGATTCGCAATTTTCAAAATTACAATTTTTCAGATTTTTAAATGTTTAAAACAAAGAAATTAAATTTGCAAATTGAGAAAGTTAGCAATTTAAGAAATTAAAAATTTAGAATTTTGCGAATTGGAGAAATTTAGGAGTTTGCAGATTTGAAAATTTAGGAATTTTATGATGTCAGAATTACAGAATTAAAAAATTAAGAAGTGTGAATATTTGAAAATTAAATAGTTTGAAAGTTTGAAAATTCAGAATTTTAAAGATTCAGCTTTCAAAATTTCAGTTTTTGCTGAAATCAAAATTTTTATCAATTTTTTTCTTAAAATTGATTAAATGAAAGAATTTTACTTCTGGAAATATTAACATTAGAATGTATATAGGAAGATTATTACAATTATTGAATATTAAAAAACATACAATTTAATACACGATTAAAAAATAATAATAAGACAGATAATAGAAACTTTTCTGGAAACGTTAGCATATTCATGATGGGGCCTCCTCCACTTATATTGGCATTTTCCATAAAGGAGCGTAGTATACTTGGTACTGTAAGTACTCATCGCCGAAGTGCCTCTTAATTAAATATTACTGTACTAAAAGGGTTTAATTACAAAGTAATTTCATCATTACCCATTTTTTCTACGATAACTTTTTCATTAAATTTCACTTTCACATCTTGTTATAATTTCGTGTCACTTTTTTAAATACAACAGTAAACATCAATTATTTTAAATTTATCTTCTTAACAAAAAATTTTTATTACATATAAATCTTTTATTACACATAAATATTGCTTACATCTGATTAATGGATATATTAACAATTTTTCAAAACAAAAATAACGAAGCAGCCTGCGTAATGTTGGAAACGAAATTTCATCGTATAGAAATCTATGGGGGCCCATATGATTGCGTGCATGGATGGTTTCCCTCAACTTTAATAACAAGCTTTTTATATAAATAATTCAGTCGTTTTTTATTTATAGCAGTGCACACTATTTGCCTATTTCAACAAAGTCAGAATAAAAATTCTTTTCATACTCTCAAACAATACTTACTATAAATTATATCAATAAAAATCTAAAAGTTTCTTACTTTTTTTCTATACATTATATGTATATTTTTGTTTAAAGAAATTACAAAATCATATTTTTCTGTAAATTGGTAGAAAGATCCTTTTCATGAGTCACAGTTTTAGAGAACTACAGTGGAATCCGATTATAACAAATTTTTAATAATAATAGCCGGCTGATAATAGTAATTTAAGGACGAACAACGTTTATTCTTGAGCTTTATTTATTATAAGCAATTAGGGAATTTATTACAACCGACGTTTAGGGAATTCACAAATGTGACATTTGCATAATCTACAACCATGTTTGTATAATTCACAAACAATATTAGCACAATTCATAAATATAATATTTGCACAATTTGTAAACGCGATATGTGTACAATTTACAAATATGACACTTGTACAGTTTACAAATTAAATATTTGCATAATTTACAAATATAACATTTGCACAATTAACAAATATAATATTTGCACATTTTACAAACATGATATTAATACAGTTTGTAATTGATTGATTGAGTGATTTATTAATTGTTTAAATCTATGAGCGCCGACTACTGCGTCATTAGCTCCACATGTTTTTGAGAAAACTCCAAATATATTTAAAATCTTATGGTTGTTTGTCACAGTAGCCGAAGTTTGATTATGATGTCCGGATTTTTCATCAAGTTTGTACAAAATACCTACATATAACAGCAGATAACATTATTCACTATTATAATAATCGGATTCCGTTGAATTAAGGTCTAATCCTACTATTGGTAGTTACTTGAACGCTCCTCCTTTATAATCGAGGGAAGCCATCTTTGCATACATATGCACACGAAGACAGTACCAAACCTAACAGAATTCGGAGAAAAAGGCCCATGTACGAGTAGGCCACTCCAAGGCAGTGCGTTTGTGAATAATCCTTGATCGTTTGGTACCTCTTCGTGGTGAGCCACCTGGTTAGCTTCGTTGCTCGCAAACAATATTCGTCTACCATTGGGAAGATGGAAAACAATTCGTGCTAGAGTCGCGGTGTATTTCACCGGTAAACGAAAAAAAGACCAGAAACCATAAAAGCTTTTTCCTCGACTCGACAATGCTCACTGCGATACAGCAGTGTCATTCGTCGACGTCTTTCTAATGTTTCACTTTTGTTGTCTTTCATCGCGAACGATATGATCGTTCATTTAAACTAAGAAACTTATGCGTATTCCGAACGATGAGTATCATAGAATTGAACGCGTTTAATCTCGTCACGTTACAATTCAAATATCGAAGCGCTTATCGTGGCGATTATTACATGCAGTACGCACAGTTACCTAAAACTAGTGATAAATATACTTAGGTGCAACGTAGTTTCCCAAACATGACACCTTCCAGCATTTGGTTGCGAGAGAACCTGAACAGGTGAAGCTAGGAACACTTTTTGTAGAACTGAAGAAAAGTAAGGTAGACCTGGATGTAAGGAAAGATAGACCTGGATCAAGTAAACTTAAATCTAAAACATAGAAATGTAGAAATGTTGTGACCTAGATTTAGGGAAGAGCTTTAACAAAAATCTAGATCCAGAAAGAACATATATGGTCTTCCTTCTGACTTAATCATAAGGAAACCCATATTGCACCTGAGTGTACACACATTTTCCTACATGTTGCACTTCCGCAACAAGACTTAACAAATATTCATACATATACATTATGTACATCCGAGAATGCTTTCTAAAGCTACATCAGCGCGTTCTATTCTTATATACATATACGAAGCCCGCTATAGCGAAGCTTCTTTTAGAACAGCTTGCATCGCAAACTTTTCCCTATGTTATTGTCCAATTTCACCATAAGCATGGCGCGTAAATGTAATTCGGTAGTAATTATGGAAGGCCTTCTTCTTCGTAACATACGTTCCCAAACGTCCAGATGTTCCTCTCATCCCTTACGTCATGTGGAGATCACCCTTCAGAATTCTGGTGAAGGTTTTCTTAAACTGTTGATTGGCCAGAGCGTAACAGAATGGATTCATGGGGCTGTTGGCGTAACAGAGAAAGTACGAGAACATGAAGAGATGCTCGTTCGTGCACGGTGGCGTCGAGCAGAAACCCTCGACCAGGGCCAAGATGTGGTACGGTGTCCAACAAGCAACAAACGCGCCCAGGATGAAAGATATCGTCCTGAACGCTTTTCGCGCCCTGTTCTCCGTTCGAGACTTCTGTCGACTTATCAACGGGTCTCTCCTCTGCGTTTTGTTCTTCAAACGTTTGCCGATAGTCTTCACAAAATCTCTTCTTGATCCTCCTTCTTCACCCGAGCGAGATTCCTTCTTCGATTGCTTCCTCGTGTCCTTTTCTTGTTCATTCACCGTCGTGCCGGACATCGTGGGCACCATGCTGCCGCTGGACGAGGAGTTCTGAGGAGGATTGTTAGCCTTGGTAACCTGGTCCGAGCACTGATTAGGTGAGCTACTGAATGTCTCCACAGCAGCCGTGCTGACGACCGTTGTTACCGGCTGTTGCTTTGTATCTTCAGCCTTCACGGTGACCTCGGTGTGCACTTTGCTCACCGTCGGCGATGTTTGAGAGGCTGCGTTAGTCTTCTGTGTGATGAACACGCGAGGGGGATGCGTTTGACTCGATGCGTTGGACATCACCGGTTGAAGCTGAGCATGTTTACCACCTGTCTGGTTGTTGGCTTGTTGAGCCGTGGCTCTGATCAACGCAGCCTGCAGAAGACTCGTATTGGCCGCGGAAGTAACGTTCCCCAGGATCGGCGACGAGGGAGTAGTCGAGAGAGGATTCGCTAGGCTGCACGAAAAGGAAGACGGAGGACTTTCATAAGAGGGACTAGGTAATATCACTGAGCTTTCGTCCATGTACCTTAAGTCTCCGCCATCCAGACCCGTCAGAATGTCGAAGGTACCTGGACCGTGCGACGATACAACCAACGATTTGGGTCTGTCCGTGGACGAGGAGGTGGGTGGACTGTCAGACACCGGTGGACTGCTCTGAAACTGCGTGGGTGGTGGTATGATATTTTGTTGGTTGCTGCTAATCGAGCGGCTGGGATGAGTGGGCGGCGATGTTTCCGCAGAAGTTACAGCCTGTTGATTGCCGCTCTCGCCGCTCGATTTTAACGATTGTTCCGGCGTCAGTGTCTGGCTGCTGGATTTCTCGAGCTCGGCCGGGTTGTCGGTGTCCAGAAGACTCAGCTCCTGTATCTTCGGCAACGTCTGAGTCTTCTGCGTTGTAGTACCTATGTCACACGTGGAACCCGGCGGAAGGATTTTCCTAGCTGCTGGCGCGTTCATGTCAACTTTCACGGGGACGATTCCGTTTAGGTGGCTGTTTGTGGCGAACATCTGAAAAGCACCGGACTGAGCGACCAAACCGGCTAACGAAGATCGTTTTCTGATACCACCGGGCTGTAGGGCTGGGCCTATGGTACTTTCTTCGTCCGAATCAAAGGCTGGACTACTGGAACGTTCCGATTTTTCCGTCTCCGTAGGAACAGTGCTGGCGCACGTTTGCTTCTCCGTGGAATCGGTCATACCCGTTCCAGAAGTCTTTGAAGAGGTTTTCTGACCGGAACCATCGCCTCCTGCGCCATCTTCTCCCGACGTGCCGCCTTTAGGTTTGTCCTGGCTCAAAAGGGTACTCTGCGTTTTTGATATTCCTATACCGGCAGCACGTCCTGCCATACCGGTCATGGCGCCAGCACTCAGAGCGACCATGGACTGCATCTTCCGCTGTTTAGCTTCGCTCTTTTTCTGCATATCATATGCTGTCTTGTATATACAAGCGTACAGGATAAATTGAACCACCAGATTCGTCCAGTAGTAACCAATTATGAGGGCGGTGTTGAAAACTGGATCCTTGAGGAACTGCACGGCACATTGGCCAGGACTCAGATCTCTGTAACCGATGAAATGTTCCCAGCCAAAGATGCTGATGAAGAATAACAAAGCTGGGATGATCCAGGTGATGGTAACCATCCAGATCACGCGATTTTTCGTGCGCCAACTGCGATATTTGGCCGCAATCTTCACCGAACAGAATCGATCGATCGTAATCAGCAGCACCGTGTACTGGGATACCAAGCATACCGTGTAGTCTACGGACAGCCATAGGTCGCAGAGCAAAGGTCCGAGATTCCAATAGCCCATCAGAACGTAGACCGTGTAGAATGGCATGGACACTGTGCCTGTTTAACAATCAGAATTGGCTCGACTTAATATGACAACTATGGGTATGGCATACCTATATGCTTTGTCACAGAAGTAGTGAATGGACGGGGGTATTTATGTATTTGTGACGTATGTGGAGAAATGAAACGGTATTTTTATGTAACTTGTGCAACGCTGTATGGGATATTTAAATAAAATGTATACAGGGTGATCCATTTATAGGTCGTGACCTAAATACGTACAATTGCAGTTCATAATAAAAGTAATATTTTTTGTTTATAAATAATTTGAATGATATCAGAGGACCGATATGTTACTTATATGTCACGTATGTATATGTTGCTTATAGGTTAGTTATATATAAATCATGTATATTTTTTACAATAAACATATTTTAAATATGTACCATTGAATTTGAATGATCCCATACAGTGTTTCTTAGAAGTTAGCCTCTGAGATATTAATTATGAACATAAAATAAACTTTATATGTAAATGAAGTACCTTGTCAGGTCTCAAGTATTTTGTGTTTTACTTCTGTTTGAAAATGTGAATTCGGATATATTTTCTATTATGTTTCATGTATTTCTTATTATTTAGTCTCTTAAGTATTATAAATGTGAAATAAATAGGGGATGTATATGAGTACACATGCAAATGGTAAAATGAAGGCGGGTAGATATAGAAAATCTGATAAAACTTACCAATAAGCATATCGGTGGCTGCTAACGAGGCAATGAAATAGTTGCTGGGTTGCCTGATAGCCCTATCTACGATAAATGCCAGAAGGACGAGAATGTTACCGCCGACAGTTAACAGTATACATAATGCGAGGGAGAAAGCAATCAGTATCGTCTGCCAGAGTTCGAAGGGTGGTAGTACAGGCGTCAAAGGTTCCGCTGTTTAATATATAGAATATCTTCTCAGTAAATGTCTACACATTCTCACCCAACTGTCTTATTTTATTCGTGAATCAACTCGATTTTTCAATATTGATTCACGTTATTCCATTATCATCTCATTCCTTATAGGCAAAATGAAAAATCATTATTTCATTTGTTACTTGCTGTTGAACTCAATGTAGATTCGAAAGGATGATTTTGCAGGGTGTCTGTGATAATTTGTGATAGCTCTTATTATTTTAATGAAGATTGGTTTTTGTTATAAGCGATAAACTATGAAACCTGTTAATTTATCAGACTGGTTATCCATTTGTCACGATAGCGTTTGTCAAAATTTTTAGAATTTTTATAATAATATATTTAATAATCTTGATGGATTATATTATACTATAAGCTTGATGGAATTTAAGCAATAATATTCAGTTGACAATATTATTAATCAAAAGATCGCTGTTTTCATGTACTTTAAACAGAGAAGCACATTTCTTTTAAAAAGGAAATTTGTTTGCATTTATAACGAACGAGTCCATAACCTATTTGTTACTTTATTACATATGATGGCACGTATAAAAATAACTCGACTGAAAAATCACTCTACCAGTACGTTAAAATTCCTTGAATTCCTCCTTTATACAAATTTCTTGAAAGTGTACTCAACCAGCAATAAAATGGTGAAATATTTAGAACATGTCAGGATTTTCTGGAAAGGGTAGAGTTCTCACAAAGGTGTTAAACTCGTGCAAAAATGGGGACAGGTTGGAAAAAGTTTTCTGTAATCACAACAGACAAAAGGATAAGACAATCCATTATTTTTATGCAGGATAATAGCTTCCAAATCGAGAGAACCTTTCGCTTGAAAGTACACGTGTATTTTAAAAAAGACATTGACTTTCATATTCTCCAAGAATATGTGAAACAAATTCATACGTATGAACAATTTGTTGTAAACAACTATCACAAACTAACAGACTGCATAAATAAATATGAAATATATCGAAATTGTACTGTTCTGTTGCTCACATTAATATTCGACTGCAGTAGTTTTTGTTATTGTATACAGGAAAGAATTTATATGTCATACTTTATTTTGCAAAAACATGGATCATTGTAGACTGGAAATATATAAACAATTTTTTAAACAGACCAAGTATCTTATCTAAAATGTCGTCAATGAACATCAATTCCGCCTGCACCGGAAATGGACCCCCATACAATCACAGAACCTGCGTGTTTCAAAGTAGGTTTTAGACTGTTTGGCTTTAAAGCTTCATTTACTCTTCGCCAAACTATACTTTATCCAGACTAGAAATACAATTACTCTCGACAGCAATAACAATTTCCACGAATTTTCAGACTTTTGAACAAATTCTTTGGCGAAACTTTTTTCCAATTTATGTCGTTAATGTACGGTTTTCTTCTTGCTATTTTACCATTATACCCATTGTTTCCCGTTATTCTACGCACAGTTTCAGCACTGATTTCCTTTCCACTTTCATTACAAACTTCTGAGGCTTATTGTACAGCACTACAATGCGGATTTTTGTAACTCTTCGTATTAATTTTCTTTCTTTTCCTCTATTCGAGGTTGTGCTTTTTGTTCCTTAAATTCAATACGATCTTTCTTAGATCTTTTAATGTCTGGTCTCTTCATTTCTAATAACTGTGCTATTTTTCGATTAATTCTTTCTATGACGAATTACAAATTGTCTCTTATCGAAACTGGTATTTTTTCTTTCTTTGTTAAATTGTGTTTACGCTTCGAAATACAATCATACTGAAATAAACATTCATACTGAAGTAAACATTCTAATTTATTTTCAAAATTAAACTATGGTTTAAATAGCTTTAATCAGCTATCTGAGAGTGTATCAGTGTCCAAATATTAATAAGGCGTGAAAATACAAAATTTTATTTAAAACGATGAAATATTAAATAGCTAAATATTCGACTAAATATTGAAGTAAAAAGTTGGCACCTTTTTAATAATGAATCTTACTGTAAAATAATATAATATCTCAATTAACTTTTCAATAAAACAACGAATATGTACGAATATTAATGCGAATAACTATATTTCAAAAAGTACTGTTCTATATAATTCTTCGAACTTGATGCCCACAGAAGTTCGATAATATTACCGGTTGATAAGGTTGTTGTATTTCCCGTAATGGTGCCGTTGGTGATATTTGATGGGAACCAGTCTGACAGAAGTTCCACGTATTCCCCGCTGTTCCAACGTGGATCATCCGGGTCAGGCCAAGTTCCATTAAACTGGGAGCAATTCGTTATAATTTGATTGTACGCGCGACAAAGACGTTCTCGTTGTCTCTCTCGTTTCCTGAAAATTACAACGGAAACATTACTTCAGCTTAACTTTAGACTCTCGAAACATACATACGTTATGCGATAAGATTTTATGATACATTATACAGTAGGATCGTTGTATTGTTTCCTTTACGCGGATTACGGAGAATGGCACACCTGTGGCACTCCGCCATCATAAGCGGGAGATTCTATGGAGAACTCCATGATATCGACGGAGAAAACTTCTGTTTAATAATATCGATACATGTGTACAATTACACTTGTGATAAATATGTGTACACAGTTAGTTATTTTTCTTTTGGTTCATTGATTAGTGGCTCAATGATTGGACCATACATCTACATATTCAGAGGTTTCTCATTTCGTAATATTGCTTTTTGATTGTCTTTTCTATTAATTGCTACGAATTCATAGTAAGTACAGTTACATAGTATGTAAGTATAATTACAATTCTATATAAGTATAATTATATAGAAGTATATTATAGTAGAATTATATTAACACTTGTTCTATAATATCGTGTCACTCAAATGACATACATTACAGTTCACATATGACAAAGCAGATTCGTATTTCCACCGCAATTGAATTTTGAGTTCCATTCTAATTATGATCACAATTAAAGTAACAATCTAACCTTTTAATTTTCTTTATTTGTTTTAATATTAATTATGAATGATGTAACTGTCTAAGAAATTATAGGTTAGGTTAACATAATTAAATATCATCTCTTCGTTAAATTTTCAACATCACCCACGAAGAGGTTAGGTTATTCACAATTTTTAATTAAATGTTAAAAACTACAAGTTAAATATTGATAACACAATTTTTAATTAAATATTCATAACTTCAAGAATTTATGACATTCTTGACGACAATATAAATATAGTCTGCTTCATTATTTGGACATTTATATTGGACCTCGCTTTGGTTAATAGTTATCTAAATAACTCATATCGAGTATTAATTATATTAAACTAATTAAAGTTTTGTATATATTTAAGGAAGTATCTCTTGACAATAATTGCGCCAATAACCTAAATACTCAATCCAAAAACGTACAACCCCATTTTTTAACACGCAACCTATTGGTAATTCGATAAACAATGCTGTGTAACAAGATGCATAACAAAGAACATTGGTAGGGAAAAGGCACACGATAAGGTCGCTACTTCTTTGCTAATGTTCGTTAACGTCGAAGAAAATGTGACAGTGGTATTTCCTGATTTTAGCTAGTGACATGCACGCCTCTTGCTCTCTATGAAACATTACTGCAGTGGCAACACGAGAGGCGAGTCAAAGGCTGAATACACCGAGAACACAATGAGCTTGAAATAAGCATGAATGGAACCACATCCATTCCCCTCTTGCAGGTCCTCGTCGCCGGCAGGCAAGAAACGACGAGCCGCGCCTTAAAGAGGGTGACTCGTTTTTAAATTATTTAGCCCGTCTATCGTGACCGGCCAGGTACCCTCAACTTTCGAGTTTCGAGGACCCTGAGCTCGTGAAAAATTTAATTAACTTCGCTCGTTTGCGAAACACGTACCACGATAAATACGACGGCAATCACAAATTTATGACAATAATACTGACATTTTTCGCTATAAAGGAGGGATGGGGACAAAGGAACGATGTGATGAAAGTAACATGCCGTTTTTCTGCTTCTACAAACGTTTTTGGACAATTGTTGTGTATCTGTTTTGATACTGAACCATAATATGGTGGTCAAACTTTAGTAATTCAGACTCGAATAAATTTCTACAATTTCTCGTTAATATTCGTAGCTGAATTATTTATATTAAACCAATCACTTGTTAGAGCGTTTTTAAATATCTTTTTAAATTCTTGTTAGTAATTTTGATAAATCATGTATAGGTTATAAGACTTTTGTCGATAAATGATGTATAGGTTATATTTTTAGGTTATGTATAGGTTTGAACTTGTTACAACTTTTAGAAAATGTTGGATATAAAAGTTATGTTATGTAGATGAAAAAAACTGTAAAATCTGTACCAAGAGTGATGTATTATACACGTCATAACTGTAATTGGGATAGATAAATAAACCACATACACAATACGAAAGAAATGCTCGAAGCTAGATACGCGTTCTATTTTCCTGCTTGAATGTACAGATATTGGGATATGCGTTCTAAATTTTTTAATATGTACGACTTTCCATTTTTATAATTTGTCTCAATTCTTTGTTGGAAATTTTCCCTTACACATTATTAAATTTTAATTCTGAGAAAAATATTTATTCCGGTTATTCGAGATTATGAAGTGAAAATTCTCTGAATACACAGTTACGAGAAACATTAAATAACCGTAACCAACTTCTCTACTTTTTAACGTCGATTCATGGAAAATTAGTTTCGAATGTACAACCCTCTCGTTCTGTCGGTTATGTGTGGATATTGGAAAATTGATAAATGTAAATCCGTTGAAAAATTGCGTACCGAGTGTAATAATATTCAATTATATTTTATTATGATTTTGTTTTATTTTTTTGTATTATAATTTATAATTTACAATTTGACGTTTGTAAGTTATAATTTGTAATTTATAATAAATCACACATAATGATATAATTTCAAAAATATTTTCTTCGAAACTATGTATAAATTTTCTTTCGAAAAATAAACTTATTTTTTGTTTTTCATATACCTTAATTTTATTCGAAAGTATTATAAGGTTATGTGAAATAATTATGATTTATAGTATTCCAATTAATATAGTTTACCTTATAGAATATCATATTATTCGTGAAAGGAAGGTTTTATTAAAAACCACAGCCATTTTTATGGATCAACTATTTATTAGCTGAATACTAAACTTTTACATATTTTTTCCCCTTGTTTCTATTGTTTTCACTTTGTGGGTCAGCAGGCGATTCACGCAATACGAAACGCGTTCATGGCACCAGCTAATAATGCCAGCTAACATTTATATTCCTTTTTTATATTCATATTTTTAATAACAGCTTTAACGTAAAGTTCTTGATAAGTTCTGAAATCCTTTGTGCGACATTTCGTTACAATTCCCCGCTTTTTCGATCGTCTAAAGTACTTTGGAATTGTTTTTACGTTAAACGAAACAGAATATTGAGCACTTTATTCAGATTTCGTGTAAATGGTAATCGGACGACTGGACTATAGAATTGCAATTAATGAAAACCGATAGTTCCTGTTCGAAAGTAAAGTGGAACCATTGAAATACTAAACGTCAAAATGCATTCCGGCTATAATTTACGCGGTACGATCATGAACGTTCTTGTTCCTGATCTGTAATGTAAAATAAAACCTTGAAGAAAATTATTTAAAAACGTAATCGTGAATTTCCTATATTCGATTTAAAAATTTCTTTCATAAATAAAAAAAGATATTCAAAGCTGTTAAAAAAAATTTCAAAATGAAAATTTTTAATTGGAAAACAAATTATATTGCTAACATTATAATCTTGGCATGTAATAAAACAGACTAAAGTTTGCTACAAAAGAAATATTTTCGAAATAGCGTCATTGCTTCAATTTAGAAAACTACTTTCTTAATTTAGATCGAGAGTATTCTAACCTAACCTAACCATGTCTATGTTTCGTTAGTTTAGGAACTTTTGTTTCATCATATGCTTATTTGTACTTAATTTTTATTTAAAAATTATGCTTGTATGAAAAAATAAAAAGTAAGTTTCTTTTATAGACATTTTTGCAGTGTATTGAGGAGTGAAATTAAATATAACTTTTTATAGTATATTGAGAAGATATAAATATGCATTTGACAAAATAATTAGTTGCTTTCAAACTGATAGTTTATACATTAGTAATAATCGGCATTTCTCTTAATAATTGTTACAAAATTACGAACTATGAAAAAAGAGAGAAATTTTTAGTTGTGATTGGATTAGTGCTGGAAATTGACGAAGGCGGAGTAAAGAGATGGTAAAAGGAAGTAGACCACAGGGATTGTAGAGTGAACGGTTCTTTGAGATTTTTCCAAATTTTGAAGGTGGGTTCGCAACGGACCGCGGACTCGAGTTACGAGCAATGGATTAGATGGTTGTTTATGGCAGATTGGAGTGATATGTTCTATGGTCCGATTGCTTTTTGACCCTGAGGGCTTACGAGCCCACAGGTACCGCGAACCTACGATGTACGGTGCTCTGTGGCATCGTACTGTAGTAATAGGTATATTCGAAATTTAATAGTAATAGGAAAATTGAAAAATAATAGTAACAGTGGTAGTATTAGTAGTAACAGTAATAGTAATGGTAGTAGTAGTAGTAGTAGTAGTAGTAGTATTAGTAGTAATAGTAATAGTAATAATAATAGTAATAGTAATAGTAAAAGTAGCAGCAATAGTAGTAGTAGTAGTAATAGTAATGGCACTAGCATCAGCAATAACAGTAGCAAGGCGAAGTAGGGTAAGCATAAATGGTGCAAGTGCGTATACAGGCTATTTTTATTACAATATGAGCGAAATTTCTCCATTGAGTATGTTTGTTTCCTTGTCTGTTTTACTATAACCCCCTTTATATTTCAGCTAAGAGTACTTGTATAATGCAGTAAAAAGCAGTGTATAGCAAATTTGTTAATAATTCTGCCCTTGCCCCATTGCACATGAAATAAAGTTTCAAATCATTTTAACTTCAAGTTACGCTCTTACCCCATTTTCGGGGAAAGTGCAGAGTAGTTGACATTTTAAACAATTTCCTATCAAATTCAGAATGTACAAGGAAAATTAAGGTCCTAGTTAATATTAATTAAATAGTAGTAATTGTGCAAAGCGTTCGATATCGACAGCGTCAAGTATTTACATAGCAGACTGAAAATACTTACGTTTAAATACCAACTTTACAAAAATCAGTCTGCACTTACATCACTTCACCTTATTAGTAAATGCAAAATTCAGAAATAATAGTAACTGTAATAGTAATACTAAAATTCAAAAATCCCAAACCCCTGATCTCATATTTCCAAGTCCTCAAAATAACAATATTTAAAAATCTCTAAATTTAT